AGTGGAACAGAACGGTCACCAACATCCGCAGAGTGTTTCAGTTCTGATTGCGCCAGAACGCCGAAACGACAACATGGCTCCTCCTCCACTCGTCGTGCCCCTTCCTCCTTCCGTCTCCCGCCATCCTCCCTTCCGGGCCACCCCCTCCCCTCTGCCTTCTGGCCTCGTCTTCGGCAGCTCGCCCGCTGCCGAAGCTCTTCTGTGCGCGTGGTTCTGCCTTCTCGCTTGTCGAGTCGTGCGTGCTCGCGCCTGGCAGCTCCGTGTTCTCTTGTCGGCGCGCTCGGACGTGAAAGTGTACCCGCCGGTCGGAAGAAGTGGGTAGACACATGGAGTAGGAAGGCGTCGGAAGTACTTATATTGGGTTTCCACTCACCCCTCAAGAGGAGGAGAGAGGGAAAACCACTCGACTCTTTAGGAAGGTGGCAAAAGTATACTGGAATCTGGGAACCAAAGAATACCTACTTTCAACGGCCAACGTGGATCCCCCCGCCGCGAAGCCTCCACCCAACTGCCCTCGGCACATTTCCGGGAGCCTCCCTCCCAAGTGCGCTCCGCACACCGCCGCCCTCCCAACCCCCTTTCTTAGACAAGCGCGCTCCACTACTCGCAAAGTAGCTGCTCGCACATTGCCTGGATCCGCCCTTGGGGATTTACGATCCACTACATCGAGGAAAACATGTGAGTTTCAGACATTTGGGAGTACGTAGGCACCTTGCGAGTAATTCAACGCGCCCAGTGATTCCTCCTCTTCTTCCCCCGCCCCCTGTCGCGCTTGCCTCCCGCCCTCCCTCTCCAATTTCCCCCGAAAGCGGGCAGGCATGAGGCAACTCGTCTGTATGGGGTTCTATACATAAGACGAAGCCAGGACGAGGACAACATCGGGCAATAATACATCGAAAACTCTGAGATCCGGCGGATCTGGAGGACGTGTCGGGCGTCGCCGCCTTTTCAGAGCGTTCTGGAACGCTCTGAAAGCGTTCCTGAACGCTCTGGAACGGATTTATCCTCGTCCTGGCCCCGTCCAAGTACATCTTTTCTCAGAGACCAGCAGGTGAGCTGCCGGATCCGGAATCGGTGGGGCGATGGTATCTCTGAGTGTCTCCTATTGTCTCCCTTTGTCGCCCATTGTCTCCCGTTGTGGCCCACAATCAATCTCCCTACTCCTATCTCAATCCCACCAGCCCTTTAGGGCGTAGGTGGTTTAGGGTGTTTCCTCTTCCACCCCCTTCTTCCCCTTCGGGGAGGGGGTTACGCCTCCCCCTGCCCCCTCTCCTGGACCTGGACGGGGCGTTCCGCGAGCGGTCGGAGCGTCCAAAACGGCCTCGGCGAGGAAGCCAAAATCATTGGTTTTACTAAGGTTTGGGCCCCATGTTGGCCTCTTGAGGGGGGGGGGGGGGGGGCAGCGCGAATTAAGGAACACCCCTTCTTCGATCGATCTCCTCCGAGACCCAAGAGCGCCCCCAAGGCTCCCAAGGGTGCCCCAAGAGGGCCCCAAGAGGTGGCCAGGAAGCCCCAAGAGGCCCCCAGGATGCCCCCAAGAGGATCCCAAGTGACCCCGAACAGGCCTCAAGAGGCCCCCCAGAGGCACCTAAGACGCTCCAAGAGGCCTCGGCGAGAATGCCAAAAATCATTGATGTTACTAAGGTTTTGGTCACATTTTGGCCTCCAGCGGGGGGGGGGGGGGAGGGGGGGCGCTGATTAAGATGACTCCAAGAGCGCCTGGGAGATCCCAAGATACCTCCAAGATGGCTCAAGATACCCCAAGATGCCTCAAGATGGCTCTCACGATGCTCCAAGAGGCCCCAAGACCGATCCAAGGCGACTCCAAGTGGCCAAAGAGCTCCCTCGGGAGGCCCCGAAGAGGCCAAAATCCTTTCAAAATCTGGCGAAAATCAATACTGTTGACTTTCTCGCCTTTTCGCTTCCGATGGCCATCCGAGGACTCAAGATGGCTCCAATACGGCCCAAGAGGGCTCCAAGAGCGCTCCCAAGGCTCTCAAGAGCGCTTCAAGAGGGCCCCAAGAGGCGCCCAGGAGGCCCCAGGAGGCTCCACCAGGCCCCCAAGAGGCCTCCAAGAGGCTCCCAAAAGACCCCCAAGAGGCCCAAGAAGCTCTCCGAGGCGTCCGGGACCGCCACGAGGCCCCCAAGACGCTCCAAGAGGCCTCCACTGGGGGACCCTTCCTCTGTGTGCTGCCCACTTCCCTGATCGAGGCAACTCCTCTGGGCATCGTTTCTGGACGAGCTGGTGGGGTTCTGCGAAGCGTCTAGAATTCCTATCTCTATCCCTGTCACTATCCCTGTCCTTCTGCGTCTCCCCGAATCCCTTTTCATCCCTATCCCTATCCTGCATCCCTATCCCTAGTCCTACACCCCTGCCCCCTATATTCCTAACCCCGAATGCCTACTCCTACCTTCATCCCTATCCTGAACCCCACAGCGTGGCCCTCCATCGTGGCCCCCCATCGTGACCCTCCATCGTGACCACCATCGTAATTGTGTAAGACTGCTTAGGACCCTCTGCCACCAAAGTGCCGTTCTCTAAAGCCAGAACTGACCGAACCGATCTTGCCCGGAAGCGGCCGCGGTTTTAGCACGAAGTGGACCGAACCAAACTCGGGGGCGCCCAAGAGGGGGACATCTAAGAGAGGGGGGTGCAAATCATGGCTGGTGGCATGAGCGCACGGCCCACGGGGGGGCCGGAGACGTACTAGAATAAGAAGGGGCGCCAGGAATTCTGGGAGATATCATGGCCCCCGCCATGACATCACCCCCTCGTCATCACCCCCCTCTTGGACGGACCCGAAACCTGCAATAATTCTCCTCCCGACGGTATCCTAGTAACCAACATCCGTCGCTCCATGCCTCTGTCTCCTCTGCCTCGGTCTCGGCACCGACGCTCTATGCGATTACGCAACACCGCACGTGGGGTTGGCGCAGTGGGCGCCGCCGTCGATTGCAGCAACAAACGTTACTTTGACAAGGTACACGTGGCGTCGGGTATAGTCAGATGCTCAATAATCGCACGGGGGACATAGCACGAGTCACCGTCGACGAAAAACGCATCTTGCGAGTCAAAGCCCCAACTTGCTCGGACTAGTGCAAAGTTCGTCCCTTGTTTGTGCTATCCACCCTCTGGGAGCGCATGTGCTATCTGCCCGCCCCCATGCCCCTGCCCACCCCCCTCCTGGGGGGGCGGGGCGCTAGCCGCCCGCACATGAGCCCCAAGAGGGCCAAGGATGTATCCACTCTTCTGGAGGTCGGCGGAAAGGCGTCAGCCTGTTGAATGCAAGAGGAGGGGGAGGGCGAATCGGGTGACCCCGACGGCAGGAGAAGGGGAGGAGGATGACCAAGGGGCCAGGGGTCAAGGGCTAGCGCCCCGCCACAGAGAGCGGACGAGGACCTGCCCCTCTCCCTCCTCCTCCCCACCTCCCCCTTGATTTGGGTAATGTCTCGAGCGGCGGCGCCGTGGTTGCGAGGATGTCTCTCGGGACTGGGCAAGTTCTCGGGATCTGGGCACGGAATGTTCGCGTAATCGCTGACACATCAAAATTAAGATTGTTCACGACATGTCTTGTCTCGAAGGTTTGTGTGTTTTATGTTGCTAGGGATCCTAAAAGCGGAAGGGAAGCACATAGCACAGATCTTCACGCAACCGTGCTATTCAACAGGATCTGACTATAACTTACCACCGTGAGCCTCGTCAGGGTCTGCTACGCTTGACGAATTTAGTGGTTACGGCCATGGCGATATTTGCAAACCTTGCACCACCCACGACAGCGATGTTTCGTTTGGAGTTGGGTGAAACCGCGCCCCGCTGAACTTTCCAGGAGCTCACCAATCTGGCGACAGGTGCTCGAATGACGTTACCCAAGAATGTGATGGTCGAGCCTGGGTCCGTCTAGTACCGCACCCCGCTGGACCTCCGACAAACTCTGACAGTGGCGGTACTGACTCATTTGGCGCCGACAAGTCTGACATGTAGTTCGGGCTGGAAAAAAACATCACTCCGATGGGCCCTCAAAACCTCGAAGAAACAAATCTTGCAAATCTGTGCAGTTGGAGCCACCCGCGAAAGCGAGATCTAGTTAATGTTCGGGTAAGACCGCACTCGGCAAGGCCCCATACAAAACCACAAACATGGCGCGGCAGTTGTGCAGCTGGCGCCAACCAGGGGGGCGAAGTCTTGGCTGGACTCGGATACGACTGCACCCCGCTGGACCCCACCCAAGCTCACTAAACAAGTGCGCACTCGGTGCCGCCCAGGGAGGCGAGGTCTAGTTTGGGCCTAGGTGGAACCGCACCCTGCTGGGCGCGCTGTTGGCGCCGCCAAGAGAGCGAAGTCTGGATTCGGCCCGAATGACAAGCCATCCCGCTGGACCCCCCACGAGTGGACGAACCTCGCCGCAGTTGCGCAACTGGCACAGACCAGCGAGGCGAGGTGCACCCAGGGAGCCGAGGCCCGAGGCAGGTAGGATACAGGTAGGAGGCAGGGAGGGGGCGGGAGGAGAAGCGGTGGGCGAGACGGAAAGGAAGGAACAGCGGTGCTCGATTCCACCCGAGCGCCCCACACAGGAGCGTTGAGAAAAAACCCTCCAACCTACATGTGGAGGCCCGGAATAAGCGGCTTATGTGTCCAATGCGCCCCTATGCGTGTGGACATAGAAAGTGTAGGAGCCTACGCATGGAACCCAACGTGCGTAAAACCTTGCGTGCGCGGAGCCCTGTGCGCAGAACCCGATGTCTGCAGAGTCCATGTCTGTGAAGCCCCGCGTCTGGAACCCTGTGATTGTGGGCCCCTGTTTCTGGAGCGCTCTGCGTGGAAGCCCATGCGTCTGAAACCCGATGCCTACGGCACGGTGCGTGTGGAACCCTGTGCGAGCTGGAGCCATGAGCCACCCCGCGCTCTGGGCCGCACACGGCGCGTGTCACGGGGGCAGCTGGTCGAGATCACACGACTGGTCGACTAGTCCAGGGACACTACCTGTTTCTTATGACCCATCCCGACCCATGCGGCAGGAAGTGGCAGTGGAGCTGACCCAACCCTGAAAAAGAGGAAGGGCGGCGATGGGCAACAGTGACGCCGACGCAGGAGACAGCAGTGGAGGAGGAAAGACGAGGACGCCGACGAGGGAGAGGAGGAGGATGAGGAGGATGAGAAAGAGGAGGAGGAGAAGGAGGTCGGCCCGCCGACCGATGGCAATCTTGTGTCTCGCAGGCCCTCCCCCGCTGCGAGCGCCGGCCTCCAGATGCCCAGATAATCGGGAGCGGCGCAGCCCCTAAACCGATCTGCGCGCGGGCGCCGAGACTCGCGTCGCGGCGTCTGTCTGTGCGCTGATTGCCAACGCGGCACGACTCACTGGTGCCTTAGCGCCTAGTATCGCGCAGAGTGGAGGGGGAGGGAAGGAGCGGGAGGCAGGAGGAGAGAGAGTGGTGGTGGGGGGGCACGAATCGATGCTCAGCCTACGTTGGGGGCAGAAGGCTCACAGCTGGTGGCCGCCCACAGAGGCTTTTGAGCTCTGCGAAATGTGCCCCAACCTCGACATCGGCACGTCCGTCACGACAGGCCCAAATCGCCGATGATTTTACGCAAACTGTGGTTGGGGATCAGCGTCCTGTTGGTGAGGTGCAGACCTGTGACCGGCGAGGTGGTGTTTTCCTCCAGCCACTTCTCGATGGACGCGCGCTCGTAGGTGTGCCCATCGGCGGTGCTCACCGGATCACTCATGATGCTCTGGGTGATCGGGCAAAAACACTCGTGAGGAATCTCCGCAGACTCATCCGTGGCGCCGTCATCCGTGGCATTGTCAACTCGCACGGCCGCCTCTTTGGCGGAAGCGAGCTCGCTCAGCTCCTGACACTGGGCGGCAATGGCGGAAATGTCGGAAAGAGCACCTGCCACCGACGACGCGCACGCGTCGCGAAGGCGCTGGAGAGCTTTCATCTCGTCGGCGTGCGCGCACGTGAGGACCATCGCGCGCTCGAGGGCGACCAGCACATCATGCTCGAGCGCAGCAAGCTGTTCCCTCAGGTGCTCGAGCAGGCCGTCGAGCTCCCCGGTGAGGAAGTCCGAGGCTTTTCTGAACATGTCGGGGCCGTTGTGAGAGACCTGGTCATGGATCACCTGCTTCTGCCGCACGTCCATGCCTGGGCCCCGTTCACCTTCTGCCCTCGCGTAGCTCTCACTCATGAGGTCCCTGATCCGCCACCGCGCTTGCAGCGGCTGTTTGTTTTTTGTTGTGTGTGTGTGTCTGCGTGTGTCTGTGTGTGTGTGTGTGGATCGGGCCCTTGGTGTTGCTTGTTTCTTCTGCTTCCTGCGCAACGATAACTGAGGCCTCTGACGCATGGAGTCCAACCTTCGCTCGTGTTGGTTGGCCAAATCCCTTCATTTGCTTCGTATTCAAAGACGAACACATGGAGAAAAACATTGTGCCTAACCCACAAGTTCGGATAAGCAGCCCAATGGCACACTCGTGCCATGGAGGGGGGCGGGAAGCTGAGCGAAACAAGAACGATCCGGACGTCCCCACACGTCCAGGCGTTTCAAACCTTGCCCAACATGGCTACCGATTTCTTCCAACATTACGCAGAATTGCAACACTGGGCCCTGGATAGCCTTCGGCATGCGTTCACGAAACCCACAAAGAGGGATACACCACGACTCCGAGAAATTCCCCGTGCACCCAAAAACGCAACAGCCGCTCAGCAATGTAAGTCTGATTGTTCAATGTTTTTCGCACCCCCAGCGCCTCAGCATCACATGTTGTCGGGGTGGGACCCCCAACCCCGAGACGGCCGAAGAATTCCCGACGTCTGTCACGTGTGGCCATGGGGCGGCCCCATCTGTTGCCCGAGACGACATCCACCAAAGCCCAATAAGGCCAAATAGAGCCCCCGAACGACCTAGGTGTGCGCCAAGACGGCCCAACAGCGCCAAGCCATCTCGTCCAGGATGCGCCAAGGCGCCACTGTAGACACGAAGACTTCAGGATACAAACTCTGCAACAGCTCCCCAGAGGCCCCCAAGACGACCCCCAAACACCCTAAGAAGCCCTGAAGAGGAATCCAACGGTTCGAGATAAGGCCCTCTTCAACGAGGCAAGCTCCCGAGGCCCAAAAACGTGAATCTCCGTGACTGCCTCCCCGAGCTGCCTGTCATCAAGAGCGCCCTTCGCGCTCTCCCGCCGCCCCCCAGTGGAGAAGAGGAGGATGAGGAGGAATCGGAGCCGAACCGCGAAGCGCGGATAGCTTCGCGCGGGCGCCCTTGGTCATCGCAGTGCGGTGAGGACCTGGTCTAACCTGCCCCTATCTTCGGCTGCTGGCCCCCCCGACCGCTCGCGCAGCTTCGCCTCCACATTCCCACGCGCTACGACACGGATCGACGGATCTCCACTTCGATACCCCACGGGAGGGGAGCTCCGTCAGCCCTCGATCACACCCCGACTTTCGAAACAATATGATACGCATCTACCTACACGTCGAACACAACTCATGCAATAACACAAAGCATTGACGAACGCTGCTGGCGCGTGGACCCAAAATCCGCCGACCCTGTCGGCGTGTGTGAAGAATTTGTCTGTTCGAGTCGTCGTCTCCGCCAGTCGTCGTCTCCGTCGTCCCCTTTCCCTGCACCCTATTCGTTTCAAACTTGTCAGCGACTGAGAAATCTACCGATGTCGTAATCGAGTCGAAGGGAAGCCCATTCCGTTTGATCCACCCTCCCCCGTCGTGGCGGGGTCCTGGGGGGGGTCCCGGGGTGGAGGGGGGTCAGATACGCATCCCTCCCTGAGGGCCCCAGGGCCTCAGAATGTATCAAGACAGGCCAAGAGTGCCCGAAGGGGCCGCCGAGACGGTTCAAGAGGGTCCTCAATCGCCAAACGATCGGTCCAAAACGCCTTCACGCCCTCCAGACTGCCCAGGAGGACTTCAGGACGCCGCAAGACGCCTAAGAGCACTCCTGAGAGGCTCCGGATAGGACCTCAGAGGTCAAATTCATGGATATTCCGTTGGTCTTTTAAGATTTGGGCGTTCTCGCCTTTTTCACTTCCCGCCGCTCCAAAACGGCGCAACATGCCCCCAAGATCGCCCCAAGATGGCCCAAGAGGCCTCCAAGAGGGCCCCAAAACAGCCTAAGAGGACCCCAAAACAGCCCAAAACGCCAACAAGACGGCTCAAGGGGCCCCCAACACGGCTCCAAGAGGGCCCGAACGGACATTTCGAGCCCTCAGCCCCAGGAGGTCCCAAGAGGTTCCCAAGAGGCCCCAGGAGGCCCACAAGAGGTCCCCAGGAAGCCCAAAGAGGCTCCCAAGAGGCTCCCAAGAGGCCCCCAAGAGGCTCCCAAGAGGCCCCAGGATTCCTTCCCAGAGCCCCCCGAGAGACTTCCGAAGAGACCTCAAGAACCATCCCTGAGGACTCTGGCCCACGTCAGCGTCGTTGTCGTTGCCGCCGCCGCCGTTGTCGTCGTCGTCGTCGTCGTCGTCGTCATTGTCGCCGTCGTCGTCGTCGTCGTCGTCGTCGTCAGCGTCGTCGTCAGCGTCGTCGTCAGCGTCGTCGTCGTCCCCCTTCAGGGTCGGCGGCACTGGCCGTAATGCCTTCGCAATGAACGCACTTACGCGGGGCAACCCACTCAGCGCATTGCACACGGGATTCAGGCCATCTACGCAGTGCACCGTAGGCGGCGAAACCTTTGCTGCCAAAGCTGAACGCAAGAATCTGCCACCGTGACCCATGGCACTTCAGCGACGAAAAGAAAAGAGTCTTACGCGAAATGGCATAGCGACTTTACACGGTGATTCACGCGGGCCACCAGCGCGGCACGCCACATCGGAGACGAGGGCGCTTACGCGCGACCTTACGCGGGCAACTTGCGCGCCAATGTTGCCGCAACCGATCGCGTTTGTTTTAGTCGCCCTCTTGAGGGTGCGGTAGAATGCCGGGTGATGTCCTGTCCTGCAGGGCCTGCGTCCGTCACCTGATGGCACCCCCCTCTCCTCTCCCCGCGCAATGTTGCGTGCGCCGCCCATCCCCCAACCCCTTCTCACCGACGGTCTCCGGGCGGCCCGGGCGCTTCCCGCAACCCCTCATAGGGCGCTCGAGGGGTCCCAAGCCGCCCGAGGAGCACCACTAAGCCCGCCAAAACGGACCAACGTTGCCCCACGAGGTGCCCAGCAGCCCCCAAGAAGATCCCAAGAGGCGCCACAGAGGCATCCGAGATACCAAAGAAAAGGCCCCCACGGTGCTCTCCAGGAGTGCTGATACCACCTTTGAAAACAAGAACCGTTCCCCGGGGCTCCACCTTCAAACAATAAGGGAGCAACTCAGGAGACGAGCTCAACGAAAAAGGGGAAACTGTCTCGACCCCAGGAAGCTGCGAGAAAGGGGCCGGAAGGGGAGGAGGGACAATCCGGCGGCTCTGCGTGGGAATCCTATTGATTAAAAACGTACGCGCTGACACGAGCAGAGAAACATCGAAAACACTCTGCTCTGTAGACGGTAGGCCCCCCGCGCCTCTCGGCTCCGCATGGGCCCTGGAGGCCCTCGGAGGAGCCGTAGAAGAGCCGACACGGGCCGCGTGAGACTCCCGAAAGAGGTCCCCCACTCCCGCAGCTCCCAAAAGCTCCCAGATGCCTCCAGAACTTGCTCGTCCCATCCCTCCCCCTGTAGATTGCCTGGGCCGCCCCAAGAAGCCCCCAGGACGGCCCGAGAGGGTTCACTATGATGCAAAGACAGCCGCTAGACACTTCCCGGGCGGCCAGAAGGGGCCTAAGACGGCCCAGGAGGGCCCCGAGAAAGCAGAAGAGGGCCCCAGAATCGGCCGAGTGGGTCCCAGGATGGCGCCAACACGGCCCCACAAGAGCCAAGGAGAGCCCAGAGGCTGCCCTGGTGGGCCCCCAGGAGATCCCCTCAAGGATTCGGTAAGATAAGTGCCTCATGTTACGGCTTTCTGGACGTCCGTCCCATTTTAAGGTGGCAGTTGGAGGTGACGGAAAGATGAAAACAGAAAGGGATACAGGCGATGACTGCGACCATGGTGATTGTACCAACGCGACGCGGATGAACACGTCACACGTTGAAGCTCTCCCAAATCTAAGGACAAGAGTTGCCACACGCGACGGTTGGGGTCCATCGGGACCCGTAGGAGCCCGTGGGCATCCACCCACACGGGCCCGCGGAGTCGCACCGCCACTTTAATCGCAATCCATACTGGTATTATTTTCGAGCAGTCCCCTTTCTTTCATGAGCGCCCAGGACAAACAGAGGGGAACACATGAGCGACCCCGGGTTCGAAAGGGGTTGGGAGGTCCAACCAACAGCTTCGCCAAGGCGAAGCCCATATCCAACTGTGCTGTACCGTAGTAACGATACTCCCAGAAGTAGATGATCGTCGCGGGAGCGGCGGGCCACGTCAAGCGAATCTGTTTTCGGTCCCCATGGCAAGTAGTGTGCCTCGCGATGGGGCACAGTCATATCTTGGCGGCCGGCCGCTTGAATCCAAACGGCCGCGGACAAACGCTCACTATCTGTCGCCTTCGCCCCAGCTCCTTTTAGTCGGGGGGGAGGAGACGAAGCGTGAGTCCGCCGCCCGCTATACAGTAAACACTATATACACAAGGACGGCAGCAACAGGCGGGTTCAAAAGGAAGGCTGACCCGCACGCAAGTGCCCTTGCACGCAGGCTGCATTGCGAGCAAATCGCCCTGCAGGCGAGTATTCCTCAGGCGGCCTAAGACGATGTTGCCTGGCCAGCCCGGTACGGAATATGACGTTTTAAGTCGTGCTTGAAGGACTGCGTTCCTCCCATGGCCTGTAAGAGCATATCTCTGTCGATGCTCCCTTCGGTGTGACCGTCCGCAGTCATGTCGCGAGTGTCACACCACTGTATACTATGCACTATACCTCGCTCCGTCATCTATCGTATACAACTGATGTGTCCCAAAAGGGTACACTGGGTCGGTTTCTCCAGGTCTTTGCTTGACGCGGACTTGAAGACATACTCCGCATCTATGGTCAAAGTGACCTTAATGCTCTGGCCGCCCATCTCCCGAATATCCTTCAACTGAGTGGGTGTCAGCGGCCCTGCGTGGAGTTTGTGCAAAGTGACGATCGTGGGATACCAGTCCTCCAAGTTGTGGGCTGCCGCTTGTGTTTCTGCTGTGTAGCCCGAACGGACCTGCAAGCGGTGAGACTTGCAGCGCGC